AGTGTCTCAGACTTTTCTGTTCAGGCTAACATTGAACTGCATTCAGATCTCAGCCTCCAGAGCAGCTAGGATTACAAGTGTGAGCCACTAGTGCCCTGCTTAAATTTATTTTTCACTCAACCTTTTAAATAATTCTTTAATTTACCAAAACATAGTAAATTGAAACTCCAGGCCACTAACAGCTAGAATTTACTCCTTTAATTTATGCTCAAGAAATATTAGGAGGGCTGGGAAGGTGGCTCAGTGGTAGAGCACTTGCCTTGCATGCCTGAGGCATTGGGTTCAATTCCTCAGCACCACATAAGCAAAAAGAAAAAAAGCCGGAAGTAGCACTGTGGCTCTAATGGTAGAGCACTAGCCTTGAGCTGAAGAGCTGAGGGACAGCGCCCAGGCCCAGAGTTCAGGCCCCACGACCGGACCCAAAAAAAAAAAAAAAAATTAGGATTAGTGCTTGCTAACTAGATTTTTGGCTTATGGTTCACCATTCTGAGCAGAAGTAAATTTTGCCTTACTGAGACAAAAAATAAAAGGATTGTTAATTTAGGAAAAAAGGAAAATGAATTAGAAAATAAACCTCATTTATATTCTAACACTCCCCAAAAGGAGGCAGAAGTAGAAGTGGGTTAAAGAACTACAAGCTAATGTGATTTTAATTTTTATGGGATTCAAATATAGCAGGATTAACTTTGGAGCTCTTAACAATAACACACACACACACACACACATTAACAATAACACACACACACACACACACACACACACGAAGCAAATACTTTTGGAAAAAATACTTCCAGAAGGGTTGTCCACATTGAAATAGGAACAAAACAAGTTCACAATATTTATCAGATCATGTATTGCATGCTACTTCTGAAAATACTAACAGAATTGTAGAGCTAAGAAAGGGATATCCTTAGTTAATGTGAAATTCCTGGCAAAGAAATTATTTTTGAAACACAAAACTGAGATTGTACAAGATGCCCAGGGTACATGATTCAGATTTCTACTGCCCTCCCAGGCAGGATCTGAAGAACCAACTGAAGACCTGTGAAGAGCATGAGGAGTTCAAACAATGGAGTGTTAAAAATCAGGAGAAGACTGTTGCTAGTGTCTCATGCCTACAATCCTAGCTACTCAAAAGGTTGAGATCGGAGGAGAGCAGTTTAAAGCTAGTGTGGGCAGCAGACTGTGAGACTCTTATTTCCAATGAATTACTAACAAGCTGGAAGCAGAGCTGTGGCTCATGTGGTAGAGCGCTAACCTTGAACAACAACAAAAAAAACCTATGGAACAATGCCCAGGCCCTGAGTTCAAGCCCTAGAACCAGCTAAATAAAAAGAGAGCTCATGCTTTGTAATGACAGAACTGAATCTTGCCTGACATGGAATGGTTTTGAAGTAATGCTCTTCAAATCAAAACCAGAGAGCTTCACAAAGTCTCTTTCAGACTCATCCAGGGGACCAGGCACTACATGAAAACACACATTTCAGCTATCCTAGTAAGAATCCAACACAACTCTGCAAAGCTGTACCTTCCTTTACCCAGATTTATCCAGTTAGCTTTTTATGCAGTTATGTGTTTTTCAAGACATCTGGGTCCCTACTTGCATTTTCCTTGCTTCTCTTGAGATAGAAGTTAACTTTTACTTTTTCAATTTTTAAACAACATCATATCAAAGCCCCAAATTACTAAACTGATTCTAGCCACATGACCTTGGGAAATCACTCATTCTTGTAAAATGAGAGCTCTGGACTCAGCCCCACTTGAATGTAAACGCTATGTTCTGTTTGCCACTTTACTCCCTGCCCCTGGGATGTGGATTCTTAATGGAGTGAGAAAATGTGCCTGTCCCCAAGGCACACATATAAAATAAACTTATTTACCTTTTCTTTCCTTTTTTTTTTCTTCAGTGCTCAGGATCAAACCCAGGGCCTTGTGTATGCTAGGTACTTGATCTATGATGAGCTGCATCCCCAGGCTTCATTTTTCTTTTTCTTTTTTCTTTCTTTTTTTTTTGGGGGGGTGGGTCGTGGGGCTTGAACTCTGGGCGCTGTCCCTCAGCTCTCCAGCTCAAGGCTAGTGCTCCAGCACTTGAGCCACAGTGCCACTTCTAGTTTCTGGTGGTACATTGGAGATTAGAGTCTTATGGACTTTCCTGTCCGGATGGCTTTGAACTGCAATCCTCAGATCTCAGCCTCCTGAGTAGCTAAGATTACAGATGTGAGCCACCAGTGTCCAGCTTTCATTTTTCTTCTTAGATTTTATTCCATATAATCTTAAATATATTTAGAACATTAAAACTGAGATTTTCTATGCAGAAAACAGATATGCATATAATTAAGTTCTATACTCAATTATTAGAAATAAAAAGGGTGAATTATATACTAATTGACAATTGCCCTATTATTTACTCTCTTCTTTCCCTAGAATACATTTCAGCATGCTGTTCCTTTTTCCTTTGAAAGGAAAGCAGCTGGCAGAGAGAAGCAGCCCTGGTCCCATCAGTGAGAGGCCTGAGTTAGAGCCCCATCCTCTGCAGAGACAAGCCATTTATCTTTGGGGCCTGGAAATTGTATCTGTGCAACTATTAATTTCTAAGGGGCTTCTGCTTTAACAACATCTGATTCTCCTTTCAGTCTCTTTTCTATTTACTCCTTGATTTAGTACTTGACACATCATTCCTATTTTTCCTTTTTATCCATACCTCCACCAAGTGAACTGACCTGCAAAACCATAAACGGAGCAGAGCACACTGGCTTTTGACATCAGAGACCTGACATCAGAACAAATTTAGTTTGCTACTAACTAATTATATTCAATCAAATCTTTAAAATGGTGATATAATAACTATCTCACTGACCTAAAGCCTCTAATAGAGAGCCTGACACATTGTAGGCATTTAATAGTTTCAGTTTCCTACAACTTATAAGTAAGGATGTACAAGCCTCATGGGTGGCATGCACGGGGAAAACTTTAGGTGAAACACTGACCAGGCTTCTCTGCATGCCAAGAAAGAGCCTACATGCCTAGCGACATGCCTCATGAATAGGACAGACCCAATCATCCACTCTCTTGAGATTTCAAAAGTAAAAAGTGCAGGTGCCCCCATGTCAAACCCACAAGTCAGAGGAAATAAAAGACTTGACACAGCTTCAAAAAGATAGATTCTTAGTTACCTGAAAGCAAATGCTGTCTGCCACTGGGCTCACAAGAAGGTACTCAGAATTTTTCATATTTAAATGTACAGGAAGTATGCTAATGTTACTTACACCACATAGTACACGTTACTTTTGAGTTTCAATCACGGAAACTAAGCGTGACAGAGAATAAATTTCTTACATAGTGAGGATACCTGAACTTTGTACACATATACAACCACCTTCAGAAAAAGCAGCAGCTTTCTTTATTTCAAAACTGGGTCAAAACTAGCAAGAACAAGGAAAGGCGTAATTGGGACTGACAATGAGATTCATTCGTTAAAGTGACTTAAGCATAGTTAATGCTGCAAAGAATTTTTTTTTAATGATTCCCAAACTATAAGTTTTTTCTTCCAATACTCATCAATGATACAACGGAATTAATGGGTAATAAAGGCCAGTCTAACCAAGTATGGTGACAGCCTGGAAACCAAAGAAATCTTGTGCAGAAACCCAGGGTTTTCTAAAGTATCACCTTCTTTCCTAAACTCTTTCAGCCTAAGCAACTACTACAAAAACATAGTTACAGGACATAACACTGCTTAGGAAACTCTTCCAAGCTTAGTTTCATTTGTCTAAAAATACAAATCATCACTAATCATCTGTAGTTAGGCCAGGTTGCTCTCCTAGACCCTAAAATGCATTTTTCAACAGAATTTCTGCCATAAGCTGTCATTTTTCTTCAAAGGAATCAATCAAAAGCACTGTTGTTTCTGGTTGATCTTTTTTCCTCATTTTAGTAAGTCTGCCTTCTCCCCAAGTTCCCTGCTCACACCCCAAACTAAAGAAACCTGGTTTTCTCCAATTAGACTTGAGCTGTCTGATGAGAGCTGGCGACTGCTCCTCGGGCCCATTATCCACCCCCACCAAGCTTAGCTCTACCCCGGGCACCCTCCTAGTTGCTACAATCGCATTCCCCAGGCTACTTCCTCTCCTTTCCATGATCAGCTTTCCCTTCACCCAGCTTAGGACCTAGCTGTATCCTCCAGCTCCAGATCTCACCACAGCCGTCCTCCCTCAGCTCCCATTCCTACGCAGGCCTCCTACCTACCTGTACCTTTGCGCAGTCATTTAATACCCACCACAAGCTACCAATACCCAATCTTGGCAAAGCCTTAAGCATCTAAATGAGACTCTTAGTAAGGTGCGTCTCCTCCCCCCACCTTACATCAACTCCTATCTCATTCCAGGCCCTGTCCAGTTCCTTGTCAGTTTAGACCTTGCTCAACAACTCCCTTCCAGACCCTGGGCCCCAAACCCAAATCCCATTCCAACAGTCCTCCTCGTAGCCTAAAAAGGCCTAGTACGGCTGGACCAACCCACTTTCTCCCTGACTGTGCTGCCTTCCTTCCTCCCCCAATCTATCCCTGCAGCCTGGGGCCAAGAGATCTAGACCTAGCTGGTCACTTAGGGGCCGATTCGCGACGAAGGAAACGCGTGTCCTCCTCAGGTGCCACTTTCCAGTATCGTGGATGCAGGCCCCGGACCCTCCACCCGGCCCGGGGTGGCCCCTTCCCACTGCATCCACGTGCTAGGTTAGAAGGTGGGGACACCTATCCGCACCGCGAGCCCCCAGCTCCATTCCAGTCCTGAAGATCACTCTCCGCACTTGACCCCGGCCGGGTGACCTCTGCCGGTGCCCAGAGCCGGCCCTGTCTTCACGGTCCCGGAGCCCTGCACCCCCACTACATGCACACGCGCGCGCGCGCACACACACACACACACACACACACACACACCCATGTCTGGCGGGGTGTGTCCTCTCCCCGCGGGACACTCCGCTGGGGTCGGGGGGGCCCAGCTCACCTCCGCGTCCACCACCTCGTGGTAGGCAGGAGGGGGATCGAACCCGCCGCCGCCTCCCGTGCTCCCGCCGCGGGAGGGGCCGCCGCCGTCCCCGCTACCGTCGCCCCGCGGGCCGCCACCGGGCCCCGGGCTGGGGCCGCCGCCGCTGTCCATGGGCTCGTAGCCGCCGTAGTCGAGGCCGGGCCGCTCGTTGGTGAGCAGCGCCACGGCCTCGTTGATGTCGTTCTTGGCCAGGCGCAGGGCCTTGCGGATGGTGGCAGGGTCCGAGAAGCCCATGCACAGCAGCGTGGTCATGTGCTGCTCCTCCTCCGATTCCATGGCTCGCGCCTCCGGGCCGCGCCGGCCGGCGAGCCGCAGCGAAGCGGTGGCGGGTGCCGGGCCT